GGTTCCCCAGCGTCCACCCCGCCCCCCACTGCCATCTTCACTTTGCAGCAGCCTCCATTTCCATTTGAGTATCCTTAGGTCCCAGGGAACCAGGGCACCAGGATAGAGCATGTGGTCTGAACTAAGACCCTCAGTGCCCTCCGATCCCCGGGCTGTGGTTATTGCTTAGGATGGACATTTGCGCACGCAGGTCAAAAACAGAGTGGATCTCAGAATTCTGTTAGAAATTCTGGAACAAGCCATTCCCCTCCCTTTCCCTCTGTCCAACTGGATGTGAACAAAGATTCGTGCAGCCCTAGGAGCACAGGGCAGCCATCCTGCAACCAAGAGAGCCAACTTTAGGATAAAGCCAGCATCATGGACATGAAAACAGAGGAAAGGAGGGAAAAGTGCCCTTAATGAGATCACTGAGCTACTGAGTCAAGTCGTACCTGCTTTTTCGGTTATGTGAACCAACAACTTCTTTGCTGTTTAGGCCAGTTTGATTTGCAACTAAAACCATCCTACTGAGGGCCAGCTGGTGGAGCAGTGGTTAAGGTGGCTGTATCTCACATAGCCAACAGCGTGGTTCAAGTCCCGGACTCAGCAGCTTGAAAAATAAACTGAGCGGGACCAGCAGTTGGCGTAATGGCTATGTCGCTGGACTCCCATGTAGTCGACCACGGTTCGAGTCCCAGACCTGGTGGCTTAAACTCACACTGGGTACGAGTGCATGTGTGCCCAAGATCCCAGGAGGAGAACAGAAGAGAAGGGATTATGGCATGGCCATCCCCCCCAGGGGGTGATTTCTCGCTTTCTGTCTCTCTGTCTCGCTCTGTCTTTCTAGCGAGCGCACGCACCCTATAGCAAAAACCTCTCCAAAAAATAAATAAATAAATATGCTGAGTGCATAAACGTGAGTGTCAAAAGGCCTGAGAGAAGGATGGAGGAAAAGGGACTGCAGCATGGCCATCTGCCTGGGGATGACTGCTCTCTCTCTCTCTCTCTCTCTCTCTCCATCTCTCTCTCTTTCTGTCTCCAACAAGTGTGCGTGCCCTGTAGCAAACATAAATAATTAAAATAATAAAATAAAAATAAAATGGATGCAATGAATATTAAAAAGAAGACGAAGAAGAAGAAAAGAAAAGGAGAATGGAGGCTTGCCAAAATTCATTTTCCTGACACCATACATTTTCTTGTCACCAGCTAGTATGAGTACAATCATTTCAGACAGTCGCGCTCTGGAGCTGCCCATGTTAAGGAAACACCATACTGTAAGCCTGAACACTCTCCCACTTGTTATTTGGGGAGAGCATATTCTCAAAAGGTAGATAGGGTTGTTAACTTCAAAAATTTTTAAAATATTTTGTACCTATAAAAAACAAAGAAGTACCAAAGAAAATCATTTCACTAGAGGCCTGGATAAGCAGTCACCTGGAGTTTCTTTCCTTTTCTAGAAGAAAAACAATGCAACCTGCTATATCAAATACTGACTCAACTCCACTGGTGAGGGAAATGGAAAAGTCCTCTCCCACCCTCACTACTTTAAATACTTTCAGAAAATAACATTGCATAAATATGTATGTAGGCATTTCTGTCTTTCCAACTGAGATCCTTAAAACCATAGTAAATTATGCACATCGCCACACTGATACTATTAGTAAAGAAATATCAGGGCCAGCAGATGGCGTGGTGGTTAAGGGCACTGGACTCTCACATGGCTGACTGCAATGTGAGTCCTGGACCTGGCAGCTTGCTTTCTCACTTTCTCTCTCTCTCTCTGTCCCTCTCTGGTCAAATTAAAATATGTAAATAAATCAATAACGTTAAATAAAATAATTATTTTTTTAAAAAAAGAAATATCTATAGGAGGGGAAAGTAGGTAAAATTAAAATTCTGTGTCAATCATTTACTAATACAAAAATGGTCTTAAGCCTTAATTAGATTGCCAACACATGAACGAGCAGGTTGAAAGGAGGTCACTGATATGAAAGTCAAATAACATATGAGTTACATTAATCACGTGTTAATTTCTTTTTTTTTTCCAATTTTTCTATAGGCTGTATGCACTCACCAGAGACAGAGAGAGAGAGAAACTAAGAAGTCATCTTCCCAGTGGGGATAGCTATACCACAATCCCTTCTCCATTCTCCTCTTGGGATCTTGGACATTCACGTACACATGCTCAGCCTGTTTTTCAAGTCACTGGGTCCAGGACTCAAATCACCTGATCAGTCATTTGGGATCCAGCCACCTTAACCATCACGCTACCAGCTGTGTCCACTACATGTTAATTTTCTAGTAGTTACCCAGTCAATTGTCTTTGGCAACACATGTTCAAAAATACCTTTATACATCCTGTTCTACATTTTTGGAGTGATTTAGTGTTTTTAGCTTGGACATATCTTTTAACTTTGTGAATGTGTTTTGTCATTTGTAAAATTAGGATATTGGACTATTGGATTTTCAGGACCCTTATAACTGCAAAGTTTTATGGCCTAGTCATGAGATACAAACATGCACACAGACCTTTGTGTACAATATCAAATCAAAACGACTGAGTACAGCATTTACATTTGGTTTCTCTCTCTCTCTCTCTCTCTCTCTCTTTCCAAAAAGAGTGCAAAATAGCACCATAGCACACCTAACAGGTCTGATTCTTCTGCTCAAACATGCAAGACACTTATCGGAGGAAGAAAAAAGAATTAAGTGTTTAAAATATGGCAGCATTGGGAACAGCAGATGATATAATGGTTATGTCGCTGGACTCCTATATAGTTGAATGCAGTTCGAGTCCTGGACCCAGCAGCTTAAATCTCATGCTGGGCACATGTGTAAGGGTGCCCAAAATCCCAAGAGAATGGAGAAGGGAATTACGGCCTGGCATCCTCCCTGGGGGGGAGGTGATTTCTCTCTGTCTCTCTGTCAAGCTTACATGACCATGCCCTATAGTAAAAATCTCTCTCTAAAAAAAAAAAAAAAAGGAAACTTTTTACCTCTTTTCTATTTCCTTCTTATATGTATATACTCCTACTAAGAATATTTTTCAGGGAACCAGCAGTTAGCATAACGGCTATGTCGCTGGACTCCCACGTAGTCGACCGCAGTTCGTGTCCTGGACCCAGTGGCTTAAAACTCACGCCAGGCACGTGAGCGTGTGTGCCCAAGATCCCGAGAGGAGAATAGAGGAGAAGGGATTGTGGCGTGACCATCCCGCCTGGGGGGGGGGGGGGATTTCTCGCTTTCTGTCTGGGGAGTGCACGCGCCCTATAGTAAAAAACCTCTCAAAAAAAAAAAAAAAAGGAATATTTTTCAGAGTTCAAATTCTACCAACATATGCACATCTAAAAACCTTTTAAATATATTAGCTAAGTTCTATGATAAAGTTATTTAGATATTATCTTTGACTACAAATATGTCCTTTAAACATTATATCATTGTTACAAACATCTTGCACATTTTGATATTCCAGACTTCTCTTTTAAATAACTACTTGGGAAATGTTGAACATCTGATGAAAAAAAAGCATGGCTCCTCACTACCTGGCTGCTCACCTGGTATGTTAGAAAAGTGAGTATACAGAGACAGGCCACCATCCACATTCACCGACTGTCCAGTGATAAAGGAAGCTGCAGGAGACAGCAGGAAGCACACTATGGAGGAGATCTGAAAACAGAAACACACACACACGCACACATATATGAAGGCAAACGCTCTCCAGGGCTGGAACTAGCCTAGATGGCAGAGACCCAGCACACACAGGCTGAGTCCATTGGTTGACTCCCAATGCAGAAGGGAGTGTGGATGTTGGCTACAGCAGAGCAACCAATCAGAACAGAACTAGTTTCAATAATAAAAGAACGGGATTGTTGCTTGAGTTGACCAATCAGAGCTGCACAAGTTTTAGTCCTTCATTTGCATATATAGATGGGATTTAAAAACTTGAGCAGAAAGTATTCTGTTTCTCTCTGGGGAGGTGGCGTTTTGAGCAAACCGGGCTGCCTTCCAGATGACAACCCTGTAACAAAGCCTTCCTCCTTAACAGACCTCATGGGTCATGCTTTATGGTTATGAGTGCTATTCTCAATCCATACCCACTTTGGTTCAGTAACATAAAAAAACTCAAAGCACAAGATTATGACGTGAATCCTATACGTGTGCAGGCATAATCTGATAGTGCACAGATAACTTCCCTTTTCTATTTGAGCATCACTGAAATCAGGTAAGTGACTTGGGTAAAGGCAGCAAAATACGAAGGAGGCTTTGTGTCAAAGCTACATAGTGTGAAGAAGCTGAAAGTGAACACAGTGATTAATCTCTGCTCTTTCCCATTTCAAACAATTCAGTTCTTTCCACACTTCGATTACCCACCACAAGCCCATTTTTATCACTGCTACCTGCTTTTTATATTTCGGATCCTGAAATAGTCAATGTGTCTGTGTAGCAATAAATTGGCATTCTGGTTTATTCAATCCATGATTCTGTCAGATAAAAAACTCAGCAACACACAAGAGGGACTTTGTACAAGAGGGATTTTAGAATCCTGCTGACTTTCCTAAAAGTTCAGATAATGATTGATGAATTCAACAACATCTCCTTTCAAACCTAAAAGAAAGAGAAATGAATTCCCTGAATGTAAAGGAACCTTCCTATGAGGCTGTTGGTGGTTGCAGTGTTTCTTAAAGGACAGTGACCCTAAACACCTGCATTTGAATTCCTAGGGATGCTTACTGAAAGCCCATCTTCTTAGGTCCTACTTGAGACCTTCTGAATTGTAAAGCTCTGGGGCAGGGGACCCAGAATTATTTCCCATTTTAAAATGCTCCGAAGCAGGGCCAGCAGGTGTCATGGTGGTTAAGGTGCTAGACTCCCACATGACTGATTGCAGTTTGCATCCTGGACCTGGAGGCTTGCTTTCTCACTTCTCTCTCTCTCTCTCTCTCTCTCTCTCTCTCTCTCTCTGTTAAGCACATGTGCCCTATAGCAAATGTAAAGTAATAATAATAAATAATATTAAATAAAGAATTCTTTTTTAAAAAAGAAAAAGGCTCCAAAGCAGAGTAGGGACTAGGGTGAGACAAATGAGGGCTGTAGGTAGAGTATTTATGGAGGTATTCACTCTAAAGCTTGCACAAGTGCATTAACCCGTGAAAGTGAGTACGTCCATAAATTTTGTACCCAACCCAAGAGGAGAATGGAGGAAAAATGGTCATCCCCTCTTGGCAGTGATTTCTCTCTGGTGAGTACACACACCCTGTAGCAAACACCTTAAAAAAAAATTGTACCAGGGACCAGCAGATGGCATAATGGTTACATCACTGGATTCCCACATAGTCAACCACAGTTCAAGTCCCAGACTTGACAGCTTAAAACACACACTGGGCATGTGTGTATGTGTGCCCAAAATCTTGAGAAGAAAATGGAAGAGAAGGGATTGTGGTGTGGTCATCCCTCTGGGGGATGATGTCTTGCTTTCTGTCTCTCTGGTGAGTACACATGCCCTAAAATAAAAACTCTCCCTAAAAAAAAATAATAAAAGTATGCCTATCCTCACTCGTTACGTCCTAATTCTAGTACTACATATAGCTCTGCAGCCATAAATGTCTGTTTCCATGTCTATGCCTCCTTGAGATTATGACAGCCTGAAGAGCAGGCATGACTTTCTTTCCAACCTTGTACTCCCAGCAGCTAGTGTAGAACTACACCATCTAAAACAGGCCACTAGCCTTAAAGACAACTAAGACATGTCAATACGAGTAACGCAAACTGATATATGCTACAGGATAAAACATATACCAGATTTTGAATTCTCAGTATGGAATAAAGAATGTAAAGTATCTCATTAATCATTATTTATGTTGATATGTTGAAAGGATGATGTTTTAGATATATTGGGTTAAATAAAGTATAATATTAAAATTTAAACCTCATTTTACTTTACTTTTCTTTTTTTTTTGGAGAGGTTTTTGCTATAGGGCACATGTGCCACATAGACAGAGAGAGACAGAGAGACAGAAAGCGAGAAATCACCCCCCAGGGGGGGATGGCCACGCTGCAGTCCCTTCTCCTCCATTCTCCTCTCGGGATCTTGGGCATGCACGCACACGCGCCTGGTGAGAGTTTTAAGCCACCAGGTTTGGGACGCGAACCACGGTTGACTACATGGGAGTCCAGTGACATAGTCATTACACTAACTGCTGGTCCCTCATTTTACTTTTCTTAATGTGACTACTAGAAAGTTTAAAATGATACACATACTGTAATTTAGTATATTTTTACTAGGCAGAGCTAATATAGAAAGAATTATGCATTTTTCCCCACATTCCAAGGAAAACATAGATTGTCCTGAGCCATGGTAACAAGTAACCATCAGTAATCTACCACGACAATTCATCTGGTGAGGGTATTTTGTGGGCTAACCCAATAAGAGAGTGTCCTTTGCATCTAAGTCAGTCATTCAGGAAGAGACTTGTTCCTTTCTTTTTTTTTTTTTTAAGAACTTTTTGCATTAGGGCATGTGAGCTCGCGCATGTGCAAGAGAGAGAAAGAGAGAGAGGGGGAAACTGAGAAATCAACCCCATGGGGATGGCCATGCCGCAATCTCTTCTTATCTATTTTCCTCCCTAGATCTTGGGCATACACACATGCGTGCCTGGCATGAGTTTTAAGCCACCGGGACCAGAATTCGAACCACAGTTGGCCATGTGGGAGTCCAGTGACATAACTACTACACCATCTGGTAGCCCCTAAATTCCTTTCTTAATGCCAAATGAATAAAACAATCTCACTCAAATAGCCATGACCTCAGAAAGTTCACAAATCCTTGAAAGTCATAGTTCCCCTAGAAAACGAAAAATTAGGGACCAGCAGATGGTATAAGGTAATGTCGCTAGGCTCCCACAAAGTCGACCACAGTTCAAGTCCTGGACCCAGAGGCTTAAACTCATGCCAGGCACATGTGCATTCATACCCAAAATCCTGAAAGGAATATGAAGGAGAAGGGATTGTGGCATGGTCAGCCCCCCGAGAGGGGGATGGGGGCTGGGTCAGCCCCCCGAGAGGGTAATTTCTCACTTCATCTCTCACTATTTCTGTCTCTCTCTTTCTGGCAAGCACACGCTCCCTAAGACAAAAACCTCTTTAAAAAAAGAAAAAGAAACTACCTTTGGGGCCAGCAGGTAACATGGCGGTTAAGGCTCTGGGTTCCCACATAGCTAGTTTGAGTCCCAGACCTGGAGGTTTGAAAATCACACCAGGCACATGTATGTGCATGACCAAAATCCTGAGAGGAGAATGGAATGGAAGGGATTATGGCATGGCGATCCCCACTAGGGAGTGATTTCTCACTTTCCCTCTCTCTGTCTATCTCTGTCTCCAGCGAGTGCACATGCCCTCTAGCAAAAACTTAAAAAAAAAAGAAAAAGAAACTGCCCTTTTAAATATCAAAGAATATCCACAATTATTGCATAGGCTGTTAAAATGCTTTATCTTTTTCATATATATATATATATTCATGAAGCCAGATTTTCTTTATATGTTTTCCCTAAAACAAAACATTGCAACAGTTTGAATGCAGGGACAGAAAGGAAAGTCCAGTTGTTTCCCTTTGAGCCATACTTAAAGAAATTTGCAAAAATATTAAACACGGGGCCAATAGGTAGTATAGTGGATAAGATGCCAGGCTCCCATACGGCCAACCACAGTTCAAGTCTGAGACCTGGTGGCTTGAAAATCATGCCAGGCACATGTGTGTGCATGGCCAAAATCCTGAGAGGAGAATGGAGGAGAAGCTATTGCAGCATGGCCATCCCTCCTTGGGGGTGATATCTCACTTTCTCTCTGTCTTTCTCCAGTGAGCGCATGTGCCCTATGGCAAAAACTGTAAAAACAAAATTAAGCACATACAGAAAAATTGTTTTGCTTTTGAAAATGTAGCTTTTCATTAAAAATGTTATTTATACTAACACATAATGTCTTTAGTATTTTTAAATGAATTAAATTTATATTTAATTTTAATATAGTATATATGGGTAAAATTATTTCCACCAACAAAATGCATGTTCTATCCAAAATAAAAATTTAATTATGTCATTCCCTTGACTAAAATTCTTTAAAAATTGCTGTTAGCATTCAGAAAAAAAAATCCAAATAACTTACTTGGTGGTTTGGTGGCAGTGAGAGGAATAATTTCTATCAGACCACCAGATCACCTAAAGTGGACACCAAACATTACAAATTTCTATTGTATAAAACAGAGTCATTCCAATCATTGCTACAAACATATATTACCTCCTCAGGAACTCCAATTCGTTTAGCTGGGATACTCTGATAATATCTTCCAAATAGCTCTTCTCCAACTTCACCATAGTTCTCAACAGCAGTCTGGGAATAAATAACTCCCTATATTTGAAAATAAAACAGGAACAAAATAAAGCATACAAAATTACATTTTAACTGGAAAGACATCAAAGTAGTCTACTGATCAATTCCATAATTTAGGTGGCTTTCATTTAATAAAACAGTTAACATTTCTAATATTAACTTTTCTCAATATTGCCAAAGGAGTAGAGTCAACCATTATCCACAAATGGATTACCTAAATGCTCAGTTTGTAACCTGCTCTCCCTTAAGAACCAGGCAAACCTTGGATTTTTTTTCATGAAAGAACTTGGTTTCTGATGAACATAACTACATGAGTAAAGAACTTACCTAGGAAAAATGGTACAGAGGAATCTATTTTACCTTCTACTAATCTGTGCTTTACAACAGAATAATAAGTTATGGCTACCTGCTAGAATTTAAATATGTTCCTCAAAAAGTCATGTGTTGAGCCATCATAATGGAATACAGAGAACACTTGATTCCATTATGGTGTTGAAAGGTGGAACTCTGGGGAAGAGATTAGTGATTGAGTGGTTAGGGCAGGGCCCCCATGATTAAGTTTTGGTAGGTTTACAAGGAGAGGAAATGAAGCAGGCAGAGACCCACATGGAACACCAATCATATGACCATACTGACTCTGCCCACACCTACCATATACTCTGCCTTTTCAGTCAGGTTGTGGTGTAGCCAACCTCATGTCATTGGGCTTTCCAGCCACTGGAATCATAAGTTAAATAAACCTCTGTTCTTTATAAATCATCCAGTATCAGGTATTTCTATAAGCAAAATGATGGTGGACTAAGATACGGAGACTTATAAAATGCAATTTTTTTTGTTGGCATTTCACCTGAAGTGAAATAACAAATAAAACATTTTAATCCAATAAAAATAAACTAAAATTATAATTGTTTAAGAAATCATTTATTTATTTTTCACTGGCTTTTGATGATTTATAAAGCCAGGATAATTACTCAAAAACAATATAAAGGTACTTGTTATTGATTCTATCTATAAGTTATAGGCAGAAGGAGAAGAAAAGGAAAAAGTGAAAGCAAAATGAAAATTTGTGAGTAGTAATTACTCCAAATAATTTGAAGGAGAGATATTGGTTTCCAATTAAACAAGTTGTAGAGACCAACAATTAGCATAATGAATATGTCACTGGACTCCTATGTAGTTGACTGCAGTTCGCGTCCCCAACCCGGTGGCTTAAAACTCACGCCGGGCGCATGTGCCTGTGTGCCCAAGATCCCGAGAGGAGAATGGGGGAGAAGGGATTGTGGCGTGGCCATCCCCCCTGGGGGGTGATTTCTCTCTTTCTGTCTCTCTGTCTCTCTCTGTCTGGCGAGCGCACACTCCCTATAGCAAAAACCTCTCAAAACAAACAAACAAACAAGTAAAACAAGTTGTAACATTTTATTTAAAGAGGATGAAATCTTCTATAAGTATTAAAGCTTAGACATTAAGCCTAAAAGATCGCTGGAGAATAAACATGAATTAGTACTGTGCATATGGTACTAATATGTTATTAAAGGTTTTCAAGAAGCGTACTTTCGCTGGCCAACATTGTAAGGTATCACCATGAAGAATAGAACTATTTGGTTGTTTTTGTGGTGTACCAACCCTCATGTAATGGGCTTTCCCAGCCACTGGAATCATAAGTTAAATAAACCTCTGTTCTTTATAAATCATCCAGTATCAGGTATTTCTATAAGCAAAATGATGGTGGACTAAGATACGGAGACTTATAAAATGCAATTTTTTTTGTTGGCATTTCACCTGAAGTGAAATAACAAATAAAACATTTTAATCCAATAAAAATAAACTAAAATTATAATTGTTTAAGAAATCATTTATTTATTTTTCACTGGCTTTTGATGATTTATAAAGCCAGGATAATTACTCAAAAACAATATAAAGGTACTTGTTATTGATTCTATCTATAAGTTATAGGCAGAAGGAGAAGAAAAGGAAAAAGTGAAAGCAAAATGAAAATTTGTGAGTAGTAATTACTCCAAATAATTTGAAGGAGAGATATTGGTTTCCAATTAAACAAGTTGTAGAGACCAACAATTAGCATAATGAATATGTCACTGGACTCCTATGTAGTTGACTGCAGTTCGCGTCCCCAACCCGGTGGCTTAAAACTCACGCCGGGCGCATGTGCCTGTGTGCCCAAGATCCCGAGAGGAGAATGGGGGAGAAGGGATTGTGGCGTGGCCATCCCCCCTGGGGGGTGATTTCTCTCTTTCTGTCTCTCTGTCTCTCTCTGTCTGGCGAGCGCACACTCCCTATAGCAAAAACCTCTCAAAACAAACAAACAAACAAGTAAAACAAGTTGTAACATTTTATTTAAAGAGGATGAAATCTTCTATAAGTATTAAAGCTTAGACATTAAGCCTAAAAGATCGCTGGAGAATAAACATGAATTAGTACTGTGCATATGGTACTAATATGTTATTAAAGGTTTTCAAGAAGCGTACTTTCGCTGGCCAACATTGTAAGGTATCACCATGAAGAATAGAACTATTTGGTTGTTGGGAAAGTCATGACATATTTTTCTGTTTTTACATATAAACATGTCATGACTTTCCCAACAAACTAATTTACTTACTTTATCCTGTACATATTTGAGTGTAATATGAGTAAAATAATATAAGTTGTCGAAGATTGCAGAGATATGAAGTTTCTCTCTTGGAGCTTGACATTTTGTTAGAGCTGTGATTTCTCTCCTATCAATTCAGTTCACACTTAGTTTCCACTGAGTAACAAAGATAATAATATCTATAGATGGTATATATTTATAGATAGATCTATAGATCATTTTCAAAGATACTGTAGGGTTGAGACCAGCAGTTGGCATAATGGCTATGTTGCTGAATTCTCAGGCATATATTTATAGATAGATCTATAGATCATTTTCAAAGATACTGTAGGGTTGAGACCAGCAGTTGGCATAATGGCTATGTTGCTGAATTCTCAGGCTGATTCGTGGCTCTACCCTGCTGAAGTGCCAGGACAGAGATTATGCCCATCTTTGGTCTTAATGCCATTTCTCCTGAATCCAGTGACGTTATGTGTGAATTGTGTCCCCTTAAAAAGACAGTGAAGGGACCAGCAGATGGTGTAATGGTTACGTCGCTGGATTCCCATGAAGTCAACCGTGGTTCGAGTCCCAGACCTGATTTCTTAAAACACCCTGGGCACATGTGCATGCATGCCCAGGATCCCTAGAGGAGAAAGGAAGAGAAGGGATTGCGGCATGGCCATCCCCCTTGGGGGCTGACTTCTCACTTTCTGTCTCTCTCTGTCTTTCTGGCGAGATCACACGCCCTACAGCAAAAACCTCTCAAAAAAAAAAAAAAAAGAAAAAGAAAAAAAAAGACACTATAGGGTTTTCAATACAGTGATTATTACAATTTTAGTAGTAACCAGGAAACATCACAGAAGTATATTTGATCAGGTTGTGGTGTAGCCAACCTCATGTCATTGGGCTTTCCAGCCACTGGAATCATAAGTTAAATAAACCTCTGTTCTTTATAAATCATCCAGTATCAGGTATTTCTATAAGCAAAATGATGGTGGACTAAGATACGGAGACTTATAAAATGCAATTTTTTTTGTTGGCATTTCACCTGAAGTGAAATAACAAATAAAACATTTTAATCCAATAAAAATAAACTAAAATTATAATTGTTTAAGAAATCATTTATTTATTTTTCACTGGCTTTTGATGATTTATAAAGCCAGGATAATTACTCAAAAACAATATAAAGGTACTTGTTATTGATTCTATCTATAAGTTATAGGCAGAAGGAGAAGAAAAGGAAAAAGTGAAAGCAAAATGAAAATTTGTGAGTAGTAATTACTCCAAATAATTTGAAGGAGAGATATTGGTTTCCAATTAAACAAGTTGTAGAGACCAACAATTAGCATAATGAATATGTCACTGGACTCCTATGTAGTTGACTGCAGTTCGCGTCCCCAACCCGGTGGCTTAAAACTCACGCCGGGCGCATGTGCCTGTGTGCCCAAGATCCCGAGAGGAGAATGGGGGAGAAGGGATTGTGGCGTGGCCATCCCCCCTGGGGGGTGATTTCTCTCTTTCTGTCTCTCTGTCTCTCTCTGTCTGGCGAGCGCACACTCCCTATAGCAAAAACCTCTCAAAACAAACAAACAAACAAGTAAAACAAGTTGTAACATTTTATTTAAAGAGGATGAAATCTTCTATAAGTATTAAAGCTTAGACATTAAGCCTAAAAGATCGCTGGAGAATAAACATGAATTAGTACTGTGCATATGGTACTAATATGTTATTAAAGGTTTTCAAGAAGCGTACTTTCGCTGGCCAACATTGTAAGGTATCACCATGAAGAATAGAACTATTTGGTTGTTGGGAAAGTCATGACATATTTTTCTGTTTTTACATATAAACATGTCATGACTTTCCCAACAAACTAATTTACTTACTTTATCCTGTACATATTTGAGTGTAATATGAGTAAAATAATATAAGTTGTCGAAGATTGCAGAGATATGAAGTTTCTCTCTTGGAGCTTGACATTTTGTTAGAGCTGTGATTTCTCTCCTATCAATTCAGTTCACACTTAGTTTCCACTGAGTAACAAAGATAATAATATCTATAGATGGTATATATTTATAGATAGATCTATAGATCATTTTCAAAGATACTGTAGGGTTGAGACCAGCAGTTGGCATAATGGCTATGTTGCTGAATTCTCAGGCAGCTGACTGTGGTTTGAGTCATGGACCTGGTGGCTTAAACTCACACCAGGCGTGTGTGCGTGCGTGCCCAAGATCCCGAGAGGAAAATGGAGGAGAAGGGATTGTGGCATGGCCATCCCCCTTGGGGGCTGACTTCTCACTTTCTGTCTCTCTCTGTCTTTCTGGCGAGATCACACGCCCTACAGCAAAAACCTCTCAAAAAAAAAAAAAAAAGAAAAAGAAAAAAAAAGACACTATAGGGTTTTCAATACAGTGATTATTACAATTTTAGTAGTAACCAGGAAACATCACAGAAGTATATTTGAGCTCAAGTGTACATGATGATGAGATATTTAATTTAAGACCTCTCAAAGAACGTGATCCATATGTAATACCAAGGTTAAGCTCAGGCATGTTTCACAAAAATGAATTTTTGAAGTTGACTATATTGTGATATGTTTCCCTATCATTTTCCCTATCATTTATCAGTCAAAGACATTTTCTCTTAAGTTCTCAATTGACCTGGGAGTTCTTTCCTAGAACTCTGACATTCAGCTTCTTTCTTTCCTAAAAAAGGATAAATAATATACCAAACTATAACAAAATCACTCTTTATGACCAGCCCAGTAACACAGTAGTTAAGAAAGCCAGATCCTCCATGGCCAACTGCAGTTTGAATTTTGGCTTGAAAAACATGTAAAATATGTGCATGCACATGTCCAAAATCTATGTAAGAAATGGGGGAAAAGATATGCCCATGCCCCATTTGGGGTACTTGCTTTCTTCCCTGCCCCCTCTCACTGGCAAGCACATGAGCTCTCTGGTAATTAAAAAAAAAAAAAAAAGAATGGGGGGACCAACAGTAAGCGTAATGGCTATGTCGCTGAACTCCCATGTAGTCGACTGCAGTTCGAGTCCCAGACCCGGTGGCTTATACTCACACCGGGCACGTGTGCATGCGTGCCCAAGAGCCCTAGAGGAGAATGAAGGAGAAGGGATTGTGGCATGGCCATGCCCCCCCGGGGGGGGATTTCTTGCTTTCTATCTTTTTGTCTCTTCTTTGTCTCTCTGGCAAGCCCTGTAGCAAAAACCTGTCCAAAAAAAAAAAAAAAAAAAAAGGAAAAAAATCCATGAAATGCTTATCAACCTTCAGTGTACATTCGAATTTTTTTTGAAGGTTTTTGCTATAGGGTGCATTCACTTAACAGAGAGAGAGAGACGGAGACACAGTCAGAGGGAAAGTGAGAAACCACACCCCAAGGGGCTTAGCCACTCTACAATCTCTTCTCCAGTCTCCTCTTGGGATTTGGGGCATACATACACATGTGCCTGGTGTGATTTTTCAAACTACCAGGTCCGGGACTCGAATCGTGGTCAGTCATGTGGGAATTCAGTGACTTAACCAGTATGCCAGGCCCCTATGCTTGAATTTCTTAACCTGCTTTTTAAATACAGTTATCTGAACCCCATCATTTGGGGTAAAGTTCATAAATCGCTGTTGTTTAAATGTTTCACAAATAATTAAGATGCAAATAAAATTGAGAATCATAGACTTAATTTAACTTTCTTTTCCTTCTTTTTTTTTTTATTTTATGACAGAGAGAAGAGCATGTGGGACAAAGAAAGAGATAGAGGTATTTTTGACATGTTCTTGCCACATCACCGTCCTGACTCAGCTTTCCAGTTAGCGAGGACCACAGGCATGAACCACCACACCTGGACTACATAGGTTGGGATGGGACCTGAATTTGGGCCTTGCATGTGGCCTCAGCAATTGCACAGTTGTGCCTTCTCGCTTGTGCCACCATGACTGTGCCAATTGAACTTCCTTAACAATCTGGTTATAAATCAAAGAAAACAGGACCAGCAGATAACCGTGGTTACATCACTGGACTCCCACATGGCTGAGTGTGGCTCGAGTCCCAGACCTGGTGGCTTGAAATTCAGGCCAGTGCACGTGTGCACATGTGTCTGTGTGTGTGTGTGTGTGTGTGTGCCCAAGATCCTGGGAAGAGAATGGAAGAAAAGGGATTGCGGTAACAACCATCCCCAAGAGGGGTGGGAGTGTGGGGGGAGGGATGATTTCTCACTTTCCCTCTCAGTGTGTCTGTCTGTCTCTCTCTGACAAGAATTTCTTGCACTTTAAAGTGAAAACCTCTAAACAAAAAATAAATTTAAGGATACTTCTATAAGGAAAAGTCAGACTTTCCGATTTTCATTTATTTTTTAAAGTCAAAATTTTTAGAACTGCCGGGGTCCGGCAGGTGATGTGGTGGTTGGGGGTGCTGGACTTCTACATGGTAGATTGTAGGTTGAATCCTTGACCTGGTGGCTTGCTTTCTCACGTTCCCTCTCTCTCTCTCATTCTATCCCTCTTTGGTCAAATTAAATAAGTAAATGGATAAAGAAAGTGAAATAAAATAATTCTTTTAAAAAAATTGTTTGTCATTTGTTATGGGTGCATGCACTCACCAGAGAGAGAGACAGAGAGAGAAAAGAAAGGGAAACTGAGAATGCACTCGCAAGGGAGAACAGCTATACCACAATCCCCTTTCCTCCATTCTCCCCTTGGAATTTGGGCACAAGTGCCCAGCATGTTTTTCAGGCCACCTGGTTTGGGACTCAAATCTGGAAGGCAGCCATAAGGGATCCAGCTACCTTAACCATCACACCACTGGCTGGCCTAAAGTCAATCTTTTATCATATACTTGCATAGTCATTAACATGCACAAATATCTCCAGCAATAGAATCAGAAGAGCATAATCTGTCAGCAGGTTTCGTATAGAATGTTTACCTACAGGAGCAACACAATTTATCCTTACTCCACTGTTGGCCCATTCCAGAGCTAAGGATTTGGTAAGGTTGCAAACACCTTCTCTTGCAGCTCCACTATGCCTTTAAACACAAAATATAAACATTATAATTAGCTTGTGTTAAATATTTCTCTCAGTAACTAAGCAAACAATTATGCCAGTGATCTGGCAGAACGCTGTAAGAATAGTCTTGCTATGAGCTTTTGTTTAAATAATAGGAAAGAACTATTGATAGGTCCTTCAATACTAAAGCCAAACCACAGGTATCTGAAGGGCAAACAAATCCCACATTGCATAGGCTCACACAAGGTCCCCCAAATTATGTCTTATGTCACCAGGTGCATAAGACATAATTTGAGGAATTTCTAATTACAGAGAAAAAAAATAAGTAACTTAAAGGTTATTCGTATGTGGATATCCCCTAAATCAATTTTAATAATAAGGGATTGGGACCAGCAGATGGTGTAATGGTTATGTCACTGGATTCCCACATTGCCAATTGCAGTTCACGTCCTGGACCTGACAGCTTGAAACTCATGCCGGGCGTGTGTGCCCAAAATCCCAAGAGGAGTATAGAGGAGAAGGGACTGCACCATGGCCATACTCTCTGGGGGGAAGGGGGGTGACTTCTCACTTTCTGTCTCTCTTATCTCTCTCTGTGTCTCTGGTGATCACAAGTGCCCTCCAGCAAAAATCTCTCTAAATAAATAACTAAATAATAAGGGATATGAAATTCATATATCTGGTAGAAATGTTATCAACAGAATTTCTAGACATAACAAAATTTAAATAAAATTTAATGTTTTTCCTGGTAGGAGATTGAAAATATTCAGATCTCCTTGTATATGGGGGTCTCATGCAAAAGACTTAGAAATACTATGGGTTAGAATTTGTAAGTACATGGGACCAGCAGTTAGTGTAATGGCTACGTCGTTGAACTCCCACATAGTCGACCGCAGTTCCAGTCCTGGACCTGGTGGCTTAAACTCACACTGGGCACATGTTCCTGTGTGCCCAAGTTCCAAGAGGAGATCGGAGGAGAAGGGATTGCGGTGTGGCCATCCCCCTTGGGGGGTGATTTCTCGCTTTCTATCTCTCTGTCTCGCTCTGTCTTTCTGGCGAACGCCCGCGCCCTATAGCAAAAACCTCTCCAAAAAAAGAGAATTTCTAAGTACAAGATTCTTAGAACCAAAAATATGATAACTCAATGTGGAAAAATTAATTTATAAAACTAGGAATATTCTTCCATCCAAAGGCATTTGAAATCAACTGAGAAAGGACAGATTATTTAGTAACTGTCTTTGGACTTCCTTTAACATTTATTTTAGCACAGGTCTGCTGGTGATAAAGTCTTTCAGATTTTATATGTTTTTTTAAAGAATTATTTATTATTATTATTATTATTATTACTATTATTCAGTTTGACCAGAGAGAGACAGAGAGAGAGAGAGAGAGGAAGTGAGCCGCCAGGTCTGGAAGTCAAACCACAGTCAGCAACGTGGGAGTCCAGCACCTTAACCACCATGCCACTTGCCAGCCCCGGAGTTTAGATGTTTTTAAAGGTCTTTATTTCCCCTTTGCTTTTGAAAGATATTTCATTAGTTAAAGTATTCTGGGTTGACATGTTCTCTTCTGTCAGCACTAAAAGATGTTACTCCACTGTTTTCTCATTTGCATCATTTCCAATGAGAAATCAGCTTCTGCATAGAATGTATATTTTTTCCTGTAACTACTTTGAACATTTTCTCCTTTGTACTGGTTTTATGCCATGCAATTATAATGTATCTTGTGTAATTTTTCATCATGATTTTGTACTTGGGGTTTGTTGAACTTCTTCAATCTATAGGTTTATACTTTTCACTAAATTTTGAAAACTTCCAGCCATGATTTTAAAAAACATTTTTTGGTCTCTGTTTTTCCTCCCTTTCCTTCAGATATTCCTCTCGTCTCATAAATTACTGATTCTGTGTTTGTAGTCTTTTCTATGTGTTTCTTTTTTGAATAGTTTCTATTACTATGTCTTTGGATCCATTAATCTTTTTTTTCCAAAGTGTCTAATTTACCACAAATTCTATGTAGTACATTTTTCATCTCGGACACTTGTTTTTGCCTCTAGAAGTTTGACTTGGGTCTCGTAAAAACCTCTTCCATGTTTTTACTTAACAAGTTCCATCCTTCCTCTAGTTTTTTAAAAAATCATTTTAAAAATCTTTATTAAATCTCATTTATTATTTTTTTAACCTAACCAGAGAGAGATATATGGAGAGAGAGGGAAAGTGAGAGAGAGAGAGGGAAAGTGAGAAAACAAGTTGTTACGTCCAGGACTCCAACCACGGTCAGCCAAGTAGGAGTCCAGAGCCTCTACCACCATGCCACCTATTGGCCCCTCCCTTAGCTTCTTAAATGCAGGGCTGGAGGGGAAATCACAGTATGAAGACCCTGTCCAGGGTGCCTCTCATGCCCTGCTTCCTCTAAGGAAATAAATAAATAAATAAACTTCAAAAATAAAATTCACTGGCCCACTCCAATAGCTTCTCCTACAGTAGATCTGGGGTTGAGCTAGAAAATGTGCACTTTAAACTCCCAGATGAAGATGATGATGCTAGTCCAGGAACCACACTTGGAGGACCACTGATCTAAATTTTTACTTTAGCCAATTTGAGTTTTACTTCTATCCCATACAACATGAGTAAGTCCTGAATAATACAGGAAACAATAGCGTGTTAGAATTTGCATAGAAGGACACAAACTCTGGTTGTAGAGTGGCTAATTCCATGTATAAAACGTTAGAAAGTTTTAGAAAAAATTTTGCATTATCTATTAAGAGTAATAAGTTAGCAGTCCTGTCTAAAACTGGATAGGTACATTCATAGCATTCAATTCTAAATTAATACAGATTCGTTTCATTTCCAAACTATAATACATTTTCCCTGGTGATGGCCAACTTAGTGACATCTGAATTAGAGTTGCCAAGTAAAATACAAGACATTCAGTTAAATCTGAATTTCAGATACATAACAGATAATTTTTTTTTTGGAGAGGTTTTTGCTATAGGGCGCATGTGCTCGCCTGACAGACAGAGAGAGACAGAAAGATAGAAAGCAAGAAATCACCTCCCAGGGGGGATGGCCACACCGCAATCCCTTCTCCTCCCTTCTCCTCTTGGGATCTTGGGCACGCACGCATACGCGCCCGGCGTGAGTTTTAAGCCACCGGGTCAGGGATGCAAACCACGGTCGACTACGTGGGAGTCCAGCGACATAGCCAGCTAACTGCTGGTCCCCATAACAGATCATTTTTAACACAAGTATACATATATATTCGGGACATCTATACCCAAAATCTGTTTAATTGGGAATCTGTTGGTTTTCGGTTTTGATTATGCTTTTTTTTTCCTTTTTTTGATAAATCTGGCAACCTTAATCTATGTAGGGATGTTTCAGAAGTACATTTTAAAAGTTCAAATAAAAGGAAAATGCTAAGTGATGAAATCACAACTCATTAAAGAGATTAATAATCTTGATTTAAGAAATTTACTTTTACTGTGCTTCCTCCTATTCAGGGGACAAAACCAAAGATCAAGAAAGGAAAAGTAGGGACCAGTGGGTGGCATGGTAGTTAAGGCACTAGGCTCCCACATGATTGACCATTGTTCGAGTCTTGGACCAAGTGACTTGAAAGTCACACTGGGCACATGTGTGTGTACCCCCAATAAAAAGGAAAGGAATGGAAGGGAAAGTATAAAAATGCTTACGCAGCTCCTGGCCATCCATTTCCAACAACCGCAGACATATTGACAATAGATCCTCCATGTTCTTTCATCCAGGAGCTGTAAACTACAGGATATAGACAAACGACAGTCATATTAAACAGTGTCCTGATTCTCTTCTTTCATTTTTTAATAATTATTTTATTTTATTTATTCATTCATTTTTTTTTTAATGTGACCAGAGAGAGACAGAGGGTGAGAGTGAGAAAGAGAGGAAGTGAGGAAACAAGCCACCAGATTCAGGACTTGAACCCTGGTCAGCCATGTGGCAGTGTCCAGTGCCTTAACCGCCCTGCCACCTGCTGGTCCCCATCTCTTCTGATACTTGTTCAGCATGCTGCCTATTTGATATATTCCATATAGATTAATTTACATTTCATTTTTATCAAAAGCCTGTTTGCTGGGGCTAGCCAGTGACATGGTAGTTGGGCAGCTCAATCTCACATGGCCAACTGCACAGTTTGAGCCCCAGACCCAGCAACTGCGGTAATTGTGTGTGTGTGTGTGTGTGTGTGTGTGTGTGTGTGCACGTGTGCTCAAAATCACAAGAGGAGAGTGAAGGAGAGAGTGTCGTGGTGCGGCCATCCCCCAGGAGTGTTTTCTCGCTTTCTCTCCCTCTCACTGTCTCTTTCCAGCAAGCACACGTGTCCTATAGCAAAACTGGGCAAAAGGAAAATAAATAAATAAATAAATAAATAAATAAATAATGAAAAACTCAGTAGCTGAGTTTCACAGAAGATGAGACACATTTAAAGGAAAAATGAATGACTGGGAAATAAGTTAGAAGAAAATATATCCAGGATATATATCAAGAAATAAAAGAAGGTATATAAACAAGTTAATTTTTTTGCTTTTTAAAAAACACAATTAATTTTATTTTTTATTTTTTAATATATTTACATTTAATCACACATCTTTACAGTATACATTTCTTTTTTCAATACAAATACCATACATTATCAGCAAATAGCTTCTCATTTTTTGTCAATTAAACATACTTCTACCAGTTTTACCTTCCTCTTCCCCCTCCCTTCCTTCCATACTAAACTTTTTTTTTTTTAATTGATTGATTCACAAAATATTTTAAACTAAAAGTATGGACAAAGCTAGAATCTAGTGGCAAGTACACTGTAATTTTTTCTGAAACATTTTTTTCCTCTCTCCATTCCCCCTTTTACTAAAGAGAGGTATAAACTAACTTAGCTAAAAAAAAAAAAAATTTAGGTTAATCTCAATTGGGTCTGTTATTTGCACAAAGCCACATAAGAATTCAATTTCTGATGCAAGGTAACAGATACTATAGTGTTGTTGAATTTATGCAAATAACCATTCTTCCACAAAATAAGAATGCTCACAAATATTTTCCAATTGCAAAGGGGTCAGGAAGGGAGAAAAGTTTATGCTTCGATTTAAAAAAATTCCTTTTTTAACAAATTGCTGAAGCCATCAACAACTCAAAAGAAAACAAAAATCTTTAAATCTGGAAGACAATGCCTAGAAGAAAATTAGTAATGTTTTAAAAAAGTCATAGAATTCTATTTCACAGTTTAGTCTCAGGTAATCTCTCTTTTGTTGAATTTGCAGTGTCGCTGTGGTCTGACCTTTCTGTTAATGCTCAACAATATTATTGATTTTTCAGAACTTGTCCCTACCATTAAGTTGGCCTTTTTCTTGGTAATTTTTTGTTCTCTTGTTTGCATGCCTTTCTTTAATTTTCCTGGTATAGTACTCCCTTAAAAACTTCTCAAAGAGAAGGTCTGGTGTTGGTAAATTCCTTCAGGCTTTGTTTTTCTGAGAATGTTTTTATCATTTCCTCCCATATGAAGGATAATCTTGCTGGATATAGTATATTTAGTTGAAATTGTTTTTCACTTAACACTTGGAATATATTGCCTATTCTTTCCTTGTCTGCATTGTTTCTGAGGGGAGGTCTGATGTTAGCCTGATGGGATATCCTTTGAAAGTAACTTGACGTTTTTCTCTTGCCAATTTTAGTATCTTATCTCTGTCTGTGGTTTTGGTCAATCTGGCTATGATGTCCTTGGAGAAGATCTTCTTGGGTTGATGCTATGTGCTGTCTGTTGTATTTCTTGGGTCTGGATATTTGAATGCCTCTCTAGGTTTGGAAAATTTTCTTTCAGGATTTCATGGACTAGATTATCAATGCCCTGATTAGTTTATTCATCTTCTGGGATATCAATGATCCAGATGTTTGGGTGTCTAATGGTATCTAGTATTACTCGTATATTATTCTCATTTTGGGGGTTATTTTCTCAGTATTTTTGGTGATTTTTTTTCTAGGTCAGAGGTTCTGTCTTCTACATCTGAGATTCGATCTTCTACATGATATAATCTGCTTTTAATACTTTCAAGGGAGGTTTTGATTTCCTGTATTGCAACCTTCATCTCTAAGAGTTCCATTTGATTTTCTTTTTAATTTCTTTTTAAATTTTCTTTTTAATTTTCTTTCTTTTTAATTCTTTCAGATTGTGGAAGAATTTCTTCACCTCCTGGGACTCGTCTCTTTTCTCCTGCATTTTCTGGAGTTTATTGTCTCTCTTCTCTTACATCTATGTTAGCTCTGTCACTATAAATATCCTAAATTCTTTATCTGACATTTCCACAAATCCTATTGTACTGTCTGTAGATAATGAAGGGCTGTTCTTTCCCCTTGGGGGAGAGATATTTTCTTGATTTCCCATATTTCTTGTGCTTCTGCAATGGTTTCTAGTCATCTGATGGATTATATGTTACTTCCTACCTTCTTAAAGTTAATTCTGAGTGTTAGAGGCATGCAGAAAATGATTTGCAATATTTCTGCTGTTCTGTTTCCCTGATCCTCACTAAGCAACCTGCACTTTTGTCAACGGAACTGGATATTACAAAGGCCTCACTGTTTCAAAGGAATAGGTGCATCTGGACTGAGCTGAGTGGTTTCAACTAAGAATTCAGAGGTCTGTGGAAGGAGATCAGCCACACTCACTGCAGCTCTGTATTTCTCCCAGTTGCTCACTTTGCAGACTCTCTTCTCTGATTTTTAGTCATTTGGTGGTATATTCGTGTTTGGCTAATTTATTAGAGATTTCTGCTACTGTAACCTCATATGCTTCGCTTTACTGAGAAGTACTTCTATGCCTATTTCTCCTCTACTACTGTGTTTTGCAATGTGGTATCCACAGATAGGAATTCCAATTTAGGCATATAAAGATGAGTTTCTCCCTTTCTGTACCAGTTTAGTGGAGATTGAGGTTTTCTACGACTCTAAAAGGATTCAGATGTTTCACTACTGTGCATCTAGACCTGCCTAGACACTCAATATGTAGAAGGTGAGAAGCAAGGTAAGAAAGCCAAGTAAAAAAAAAAAAAAAGTAACAAAGGAAAAAAGACAAAACAAAACAATGCAAAGAAAAAACAATTTTTTTTTAAGAGAAAGGTCAAAAAATGAGAACAGTGAGGCACATTATGTACCATATGAAAGAGGCAGAGGCTTTCTAGTTAAAGGGGCAAGGCTAGGCCTACCTCAGATGCACATGGATTCTGAAATTAGCAAGAAAAAGGAAAGGTCAGAGACAAAATACAGGACCTGCAGATTTTAAAATATACATATATATATATATAATATATATGTGTATATATATATATATGGGAAAAATTTTGAGAGAAAGAAGAGGGTAATAGAGAGACAGAGACAGACAGAGACAAAGACCACCCTGGCTTTTCACTGGTTGTTGGCCTGAAAGGAGAGGTTTAGGGCAGAGGCTTTCTGGTTAAAAGGGCAGGGCTAGACCTACCTCAGATGCACATGGATTCTGGCTTTTACAACAAATTAATTATTAAACAAAAAGCCTAAGATGCAATTTATACATCATAAAAACGCACCCACTTTAAGTATACAATTTAATAGTTTTAATCAACATATGGAGTTGTGCAATCATTATGACAATGCAGTTTTAGAACACTTATGGCATCCCAGAAAGTTCTTTCATGACCAGTTGCAGTCCAACCCATCACCAGACACTCACCTTTCTGTTTCCATAGATTTGCCCTTGTCTTCTCTGAACATTTAGTGCAAACTGAATCATACTATATGTGATCTTTTGTGTCTGGATTCTTACACTTAAAGTGTGAGGTTCATTTATGTTGTAATATATTAATAGTTCCTTTTTATTGTGAGTAGTATTCCATTGTATGGCTATGCCATATTTTATTTATTCATTCACTACCTGATAAAATTTGGATTGTTTCTACTTTGGGGCAATTATGAATATAAATCTTTATGTGGATATATGCTTTTATTTCTCTTGGGTAAATACCTAGGAATTAAATCACTGGGTTATATAATAACTCCATATTCAAGGTTTTTGTTTTTGTTTTCGTTTGTTTGTTTTTTGCTATAGGGTGCGTGCGCTTACCAGAAAGACAGAGAGAGACAGAGAGATAGGAAGTGAGAAATCACCCCCCAGGGGGGATGGCCACGCTGCAATCCCTTCTCCTCCATTCTCCTCTCAGGATCTTGGGCACACACGCACACGTGCCCGGCATGAGTTTAAGCCACTAGATCTGAGACTCGAACCCCGGTCTACTACATGGGAGTCCAGCGACATAGCCATTATGCTGCTGGTCCCTGTTTTTGTTTTTAATACAGGGTCTCACTCTATTGCAATCCTGCTTCACCCTCCCCAAGACATGGGGATTACAGGGCACACCACTGTGCTCCACCTTCAGGTTAAAACAAAAATTGAACCTAGGCCTCCCATGTGGTCCCAGCCTGCAGAGTACAGTATCTTAGCAGTGAGTGCCACCACAGTGGGGCCTCTATGTTTAACTTTTTGAAAAATTGTCCAACTGTTTTCCAAAGTGTTTCCATTATTTTACATTCCTGACAGAGATGTATGAGAGTTCTAGTTTCTCCGCTATTATCGTCCAACTTTTCGATTATAGTCATTCTAGTGTTTGAAATCCTGAATGTGGCGTCTTGCTTTCTCATTTTTCCTCTTTCTATCTGTCTCTGGTGAACATACACATGCCTTATAGCAAGTTAAAATAATAAATATAATTAAATAAATC